ATACTCTGTTACTTTGGTACAGAGTAGGCATATTGACTTTCAAAGTGGTACAGGGAAACATAGAAAGTAAATTTTAAGTAAATACTTTAGAGTACTTATTTTAAATAAATACATCTTCTATGAACAACATCTATTAATTAAAAAAGGAGTTCATCAGAAGTGTGGGAACACTCATATTCTTTTGAGAAAACAATTATTCATACGATATATTCAATCTGAATTGCTTCTCACTTGGCACAGGTCAAACAATCCCCATAGATTCAACATGGCTTGTAATATGTAGCTTTTTCTGTAAATTTTACCCACTTCACTGCTTTCCAGATCCCACAGCATCTTTGTAAGAACCTTTTCTGTATTTTCTTCACCTGCCCTACCAGAGGGCCTTTTCATCAGGGCCTCAGATGACTTCTTTTACTTTCCCACTCCGTTCTTCTGACAACTGTTCTACTGCCTAGTGATTTTTCCTCTTCAGCTATCATAAACTAGTCCCTGACGCCGCTCTGCTCCTCTCCTTTTCACAAGATGTCAATTTTATACCAGCTTTCTTGTTTAACCATAATTTTTGATTTGTCAGTTGCTCATGATGGCCTTTACATGAAGTGCTACTGTGTTCTCGCCTCTCTCCAAGTGGCCCATCTTCAGCAAAAATACTTTGCCTTTTCCTGCCTAATCTTATTCCCCATTTCTAACAGCATTTTTTTTAATGTACATTCTATCATACTTATGATACAATACTTACTAACTACAAACTTATTTTAAAATAACTACCATTTTGTTTTGAATTATTTTTTCACTACTGTTTTACTACTTCAGCTGATTCCATGGCAATAGATGAACTACTCAACTGCAAAGATGTTATCTCAGAAAGGCTTTTTCTGTGTATAGTTAAGGAATGTTTCCACCCAGGAGAAAGACATAAGCCATGATTTCTTCCAAATTGAAAACCAGTCACTGTATATAAAGACTTACCATTTGTAAGCATGCATCACCTTTGTGTTTTCTGATGTGTTTAACTTACCATTGTTACAATTCCTCTACAACCTTAATACAGTATTAAGGAAGTATTGCCTTCCCCAAATAATTACAGAAGCACCCCACTTTGACCTTTTTCCATCCTGAGATGTACATTTAAATTAATCATTCTCCTTTTTGAATCATATCAAAATATGTCAGCGCTTCCTTGTGTTATTCGACCATTGCTTTGAAATTAAAAGTGTTGACAAGGGTTGGACATCTGATGACACTGCCACCTTCTCAAGAGGCAGTGATAATGAAACTATCACAGAATGGTTTTCAGATAATAAATGTAAAATCTACTGGCCTAAAGTATGAAAAACAGGGTAAAAACAGTAACACTTCCTTTGCTATCTCACATAGGTTGTTCCTGCATCGCCTGTACCATCTCTGGATGGAAACACAGTTTGTTAGACTGCATTCACCTCCCAGACTTTGGATAGTGAGACTGATTACTCACTTGTACAACAGTTTACAGGCAACAGAAATGATTATTACTGCCCTGGTGTCCTAAACGATGTGCTTTCTCCCTTAAATAACCCTATAGGTTCAGAAGAGATGAGTGATGATACCAGGTGAAAATAATTGATTTTTTTAAGGAAAAACAGTATCTTGTTCAACTGTATTTCTGTTAAAAATAAAAAATAAAAAAAATCACTACCACCCCAGCCTACTACATTTCCAAGTTGTTCTCTGAAGGCAGTATGTATAAAATTACAAAACCATATGAAAATGCTTTTTTTTTTTTTTCTTCTACTGACCAAGGAAATGTGACTAGACCTCTATTCTCTTTAGTTTGTCATCTATTACAGCTTAGAGAGAGGCACTGTGAAAGTGGAAATGCTTAGTATGTTAGATAGAAGCACATAAGTCTTCTGTGTGCTCTTTGATCCAGTGGTGTCCAGAGAATGCAGTGCTCTCTCACAGGATGCTGCCACCAGCTAAAGGAAGGGCACACATTTAAGCACTGGCTTGAATTTCCATGTTATGCTTGGCTATGGTTCTGCAGTTTTGCTCTTCCATTCCTTTACATAAATATAATTGCCTCTTTGAAACATACAGAACAACAGTTTTGGCAATTGCCACAGAACTTAGAGATTTAGGGCGTTGTTGAGAAAACATGTTGGTTTCTGATAGCCAGAATTTTATCAGCATCTTCTGTGCTAGAGCCTGAAACAAAAGAACCATTTTGCTTCTTTAATGACCTTAAATTGTACTCCAACAAATTTGCTAATCTCATTTTTAGTCACACGTATTATTTTAACACTTCCCATGATATAGCATTACTATTCTTTCTTTTGTTACTTTGAATTATTTTTATTATCTATTTATGCTTTTATCTACAATTTGTTCACAGTCCCAGTAATTTGCTCAATGTATTCATGTCATCAATATCTCATTTTTCTCACAGCTTTTCATAGCTGTAATTCTGCCTGGCTGTTTCCACGTGACTGGTTAGGTTAAATTCTTAAGAGACGAACAAAACCTAAAAAACAGGACAAGTTTCTGCTATAGCAGAAAATTCTTTGTATGAAAAGACAATTAAAAGAGGGCAACAGCAATATTAGGTACCCATATTCCTCCTTGCTGCATTTGGTAGACCACCAGCTCCAGCCAGGGACTAAGTTGTGGTAGTATCTCCTTGCTGTGTGCTGTGCCAACAGAACATTTAAAGAAAGAAAGCACAGTCCTTGCAGAGGGTAAATCCCGTGTTGACAAGCTTCAAGCAATTTGAAGCTTCCTTAATCAGGCCACATCACTGGTTACAGATCCAATATATCTCAACATCCAGGTGTGAGTACAGTGGAATCTCCTCCCAGTTGCCCTGCTTCTGGTATGCCTTGAAAAGGAAGATACTATGGGTTTGTAATGATATAGGGATGTCTGTAGGGGCCAGCAGTGTGCCACACATAGCAGGTAACTTGCATCCTGAAAGCTGCAGGTGTGTGTTATGCTGGTACTCCACCATTTCTCCTGCCTCTTCAGTATAGAGAATCAGTTTGGAAAAGCACCATGAAACATCACACATCATTGTCCCAAGTGTACATACCATGAAAGACAACCCTGAAAACAAAAATCAAAGCAGAATTCATGTTCTTATCAGACATCAGCCTTTACATAAAGACCTAAGGCTGTGAAGTGCAGTGCAAAATTTTTCTCAAGTCTTGAGATCAGTGATACTGTTCCAGAGGAAAGAATAGGTAAAAAAGAAAATCAGACAAATATTGTTCTGATATACAAATGCTTTCAAAAGTAACTACTTTTTAATGCCCACATTTGTTTTCGATTTCTATTCTGCCACCTGTTTACTTGTCTTAGAATTACAAGATTTTCCTCACATTCCAAAATCTAGAATGCCCTAAAAGCAGGCATCTAACGAAGTATGGCTCCTGTTTCTAAGAATGTGGAAGGTGACTCCAAACAAGTTATTGCTAATAACAATGGATGTGCCATCTGCCTAGACAACAGAGCACTACATTTTTAAGCCCACCTCAGCTGGGAGATGGAGGTAATGCTCTTACCTAACTATGGTGTACAGGAAAAGTCTGGACAGAGAGATTATTCTGCAAAAATTACCCTGGAAAGACGACAGTGAAGATATGCAGATGTTGTATCCTGAATTTCTTATTCAATACCTAAGACATTCAGCTGCAAAAGAAGATACACTTACATTGCAAGACTGGCTCTTACAAGCAATACTTGTTTTATCCTGTAACTTTCTCTGATGAATTAAAACGTCAGGAAGCATGGAATTCAAATGAAGGTCTGTCCTTTTGCAGCTGTATTCCCCAGTTTCTAGTTTAGAGACTGAATCTGGATTTTGCTGCTCCTCTTCAGTCCTGATTTTTGCACTTGAAGCTGCATAGTTCAGATTCAACAAGAAACTTGGAGGTGTTCAGCATGTAAGTAAGCCAAAAAATTAAGATTACAGCACTTAGGAGGTGGCACCAGTGTCCAGTCATGTAAACTTTAACTGACATGACTGGGAAAAGTGTTGTTATTAGAATGAGACAATTATTATGGCCAGACAGAGATCTGCAGACAAGAACTATACCTTTGTACTCTTGGAACTGGAAAACTCCCATTCATTTGAGAGACATGGATCAAGATTTAAATACAGGACGAAACCTGCAATCTAAAACTTTCTAGTCTAGTATAGTCCTATTCTATTCCATTCTTACTCTACTCCACTCTTCTCTACTCTTTACATTGTGTTCATCACCATAACAGCACAGTGCATTTTTACAAGTGATTAAAATAACGTGATTAGCACCTCTTATTGTCTGATTCAGAGGAGAGAACAATACTATTATTACCATCAGCATTATCATCACTATTATTAGGCTTGCTTCTTATTGTTATGCAATTGTAGTAATGAAGACAGAGCTGAATAATTGCACTTAATGTTTGGGGTGGAAGAAACTTTTTGCTAGTTCTTAGCTCCAGAAGAAATCCACTCATGAACAGGATAGATTTGCAAACTCCAGCTGTATGGAGATATAAATTGCAGCTCATGCTAAAAAAAAAAAGGTCGCAACGTTATTTCTGCCATGACAGTACACGAAGGTTTCAGATTCAAGTCTCTGAAGATGACTTTCTCACCTTGCATGCAGTAGATACCTTTGTTCAGTCAACTAAACAAGAATCAACATGACTTATACCCGGATTCCTGAAGCTTGCACACATGGATAAATTATAACAAAGTTCAAATCTAAAGAGCAAGCTAAGTCTAATAATATGCCAGAATATTTCTTTTCTAATGTATGTGCATTCTAACACAATTGTTTACAAAAGCAGATCTATTTTTGCTATTCTAAAACAGAACTATGTACAACACTATTCTAAATAGTCTCTACATACTAAAAATTCCACACCAAAAAAAAAAAAAAGAAAAAAAAGTACATCAAGCACACACGCATTACAAAAGCATGAAATGTGTTTTTATAGTCTCATGCTTTCATGTGGTTTTCCAAACCCTGACAAACCTGGCTCAGAATGGTGTTTCTTTTTCGGCAATAGCTTTTCATCAGTTATTGTACCATTCACCTTTTTCTGCTGGTCCTCCCATGTAACTTCTAGCATAAACCAAAAAAAATCAGAAATATTATATAACTTACATTATAAGATACCTAATACCATTTGGGACAACTTGATCTAAACAAAATACTATCATTAACACAGAAAAAATTAGAGTATTTATTTAATTTAGAGGCCTGTGATGAAGAGGTTTAGTCAACAACTTAAACAAGGAAAAGGATATACGCTATGTAAGTTAATGTCTATGTAATATATCAAATATTTCTCTCTCTTTTATATAGAACAATTGTGAAAAAAAAATAAACAAAACAACAAACACTGGAGGTTATTTACACAATAACTCCTCCTATTTTAAAAATCTAGAACAGGATATTTTATAGCTTCTTACAATATTTATATATTTCTCTGAATTTAAAAAGGCATGCAAAAATATTTTAGTAGAAAAGACTTCACAAATTCACAAAAATTCAAACAAACAAACAAAGTAAAACCAAACCATTAATCATGCATGTTGTTTTTAAATTGCAAAAGTATTTTTAACAATAAATTGAGTTAAAAATATTTAAGCCAAAAGTAGGTCAGATTCACTTTTAAAATCTGGAATTTGATTTAAATTCAACCTGAATTTTAGGCATATTAAGACACTCTTCCTAATTATGGTTCCTATACCCTGACACCAGCATTTCTGACCTATCTGCTCATGAAAAGAGCTATGGATATAGGCATGTACACTGTCCTCCAGATAGGGACTCCATTTCCTAGGATTGCAAGACTTTAGTCTTTGTGACAATGTCAGATATTTTTGGCCTACATTTAAATTCTCTACCTTCTGAAAATTAAACTGTGTGGTTATCATAACACTACGCTTTAAAGCTTTTGATAGCTCATGTCAAAACCAAATCTAGCCCAATCAATTAGATAGATTAAATACCTTAAGCTCCATTTTTGCTTTGGGCTGTTGTGAAACTGCTTATTTTGCTGATCCCCCCAAATGCAAAGGTCCTTACAGCCATAAAGCATGGGTATAACCACTTATGTGATCACAGAAATAGCTAGTGATGGAGAAGAATATGCTAGATATGGAGTACATTCTCAATCTTGTTAATTAAAAAAAAAAAAAAAAAAAAGACATAAAATTATATTAGCCCATGACATTTCTTTTTCTTCATTATTTGAGCTGTGTGGATATCTGGAATTGAGAATGTAAACATTTAAAAATGTTATCTGGTTATCTGCAGTTATTCTGTAGCCATCTTATCTATGGCTGTTGTTCTACAACAGGCTGCTGTCCTATGAAAGGTGGCTTTCACTTTTGAAAATGATGGAGTTGTAGCCTTCAAGTAATAACACATCAATAACATTTTCAATATAATGTTTTTAGGACACCACAGATATGCATGTTGAAACACAAACTGATACCTTTGAAGTACTGTGTGTAGCACTGAAATTCAGAAGGCACATTCTGTTTTGAAACTGTGGAAATAAAATCTTATGTTTCTTCCTAACAAAATTTTGATTTTATGATAAACATCAAATAAAAATATAACTCTTTGAATAAATATTTTGCCATGCCTTAAAAGAGCAAAACCCATTATAAAAAGCAATATAGGCTACTTTTTAATGCTTATACTAAAAGTGATAGTATCACCACATAAATACTTTCAGAAAAAAAGTTTCAAGGATCCTTCTACAGCTATAGTTATTCTTACAACATTAAATTTAAGTATCTGTTTCATTTTTTCAGAAGGTAAGTGCAACTCTTAGACTGAGTACATGGAGACTGCAGGTACTTGAGTTCGGATCAGATGAAAAGCTTCATTGACTTCTGGAACAATGCAAGAGTTTGGCTAGTATTGGTTAGATTGCATTATAGTCTCTAAAATCTCTCTATCTCTCTTTTATTTTATTTATTTTTATTTTTATTTCCCCCCCCCCTGCAAGGCACAGGGCCACCTTCTATTCCCTTGTTTTAATCAAAGCTTCTTTGGCCAACTTATAAATATTTGGAAATAAATCTTCCCATTTTCTAATTTATCATTCACTTCTCACCACTCTCACTTCAAAATGAATTTCAATCTGTCTTCTGTTGTGAGAATCAGTTGTGACTAATGAAAGACATAATAAAATCATTGACCTCACAGATTATATAAAAGATGAGATTACTGAGTACAAAAATTATAGTTATTGAAGCACTGTTGGGGCTAGAAGGATTTGACAGGTGCACTGATTCAGATTTCTTCCTATCAGTATGAACAATAAAATTGTTAAATGCGGTTGTTTCATTAGATGCCGTTGTTGCATCTACCCCCGGGCACCAGCACCACAGAGCTGTGCAGCCAGGCTCTCCCCAGAGCACATCAGGATGCTACCTGGCCATGTGCCTTTCGCTTCTGAGAATGACACTCGCTCATGCTGCCTGGGACAGGTGGGTGCACTCCACTGTACCTACTGATAAGAACAAACTCAGCATTTATTCCGCTTTTGTTTAGAATATTTGGTGTTAAAAGTAAGGAAATAACATAGAATTGTTGCGGATCTCCAGCTTTTCTGATTTTCTAAATATGTGCTCTGAGCTCCAGTTATGTCGCAGCTGAAGCAGAATGATGCTGCAAGCTGCAGAGCTACAAGATGATGCAGCAGAATACCAAGATGCTAATGACAGAGGGTTTTCTTATGCAAATACTACCCCCTCCCTTCTTTTCTCTGCACTACAGACAATAACATTCCTTTTCTCAGTTACCCTTTCCTTGAAACTTTCTCTCAAATTTCTTTTTTTATTAAATCCACTCAGCTTTTTTATTCTTTTCAGCTCCAAAAATTTCTGTGAAGCAATTTTTATCAGTACGTTTCGAGTTTTAGACTTTTAATTAGCTTATCATAAAGTCTTCACTTTTTCACTAGGACATACTTAATGTAGTCATCTTTTCCTGCAAATGAAAAATTCTCAGAACTTCTATTTTTAATGCTGTAAGTTGAACACTCAGAAAGGAATTATATTCTTAATAATTTATGGTGACAACTACTTTAAAAATGAGTCAAAAGTGGATTTTGCTAGTGCTTATTAAACACGAAGCAGCACAGTGAAAAGCCATTAGAACTGTGGAATAAATTGTCAAAAGCTAAGAAACTACATTTTGAACCAGATGCTCATGATTTTTAACTCATGCATTAAGAATACAAGGAGAAGAGGAATTAATTAGACTTATTTTAGAAGAGGCTAAATTCACATTATGCAAGTTTTAATTTACAAAGCAAATTCCCTAAGAAAATAAGAAGAGCTATAATAAAATATAAAAAGAGATATAATAAAAGAAAGTCCACCAAGAGGGAAAAAATCCAGCTTTGTCAAACCTCCACTGGAAAAAGTGGAGGAAAGCAAATGGCTTTAAGTCATGATACGTGAATTGTGCCAGATGTACTACATTTTATAAGGAATGAATCCAATCCCACCTAACACCACTGTTAATGGCATCAAGGCCAGCTCCATGTGACACAAAGCCAGCAATGAAGGAACTCTGCTGCTGCTCCTACATCAGGGGAACTTTCAGATACCTCTGTAAAACAGGGCTGAGGTTCCCCTACCCTGCTGTAACAAGAACTAGACTCTGGTCTGATACCTAAAGACAAGTCTCACAGTCCTTTTCTGTCAAAATTTGAGCAAGACCTCCCGGCTCTCCAGGTAACATCGTACCAGTACTTCACACCATACCAGAGGACACCACTTCTTAGCCTCTCCTATTTACACTGTAGCAGGTCATCTGAAGTTTTTTCTCCATACGGAAAAGAATACTCAAAGAAAAGAACTTCACATGAAACTAGTTCGCAAACTGAGCCAAATCAGCAAATGAATGCTGGGATATGCTAACAGCATTTTAAGATAAATAAAGTGTTGTTCTTAAACAGCTATTTAAGCATCACTTATACTGAGGGTTTAACTAATGCAGCACTGCAATAAAAATGCTGACATATCTTAATTATTTATTGTTTTCATCTCATGTTCATTACTGAACTATACATCTTGGAGAAAAAAAAATAATAAAAATAGTGGGCTTCATTCCCTGGGGCTGCAGTGGGAATACATTAAAATAACTTTAATGGAAGTCATTAGGTAGGTAATAAAAAATATTGCCATGTAACTACATTTTATATTACCATTACTAGTGTAACAAAAATTATAGTGCACTGTAGGTTATTCCTTTACTCCAGAAATATTTTCTTCAAATTGACTTCAAGGCTACATTAATTATTTGTAGTTGTAAATCAATTAACAGTTCAAGTCATCCAGTAGCAGTCTCATCTCATCATATTCCCTAGCAGAAAACATCATCAATTCCAATCTAAACTTATTTTCTAACTGTCTTAGTAGTGGGTCCTTCTACATGGGCAATAGCATAATCATCTTCTATTGCTTAGTCTAGAGCAGAATGTTAGATACAGTCAAACAACATCACAGAGAGAACTTGTTTTAATACTACAGTACACTAGAGTAGAGTCACAGCCTACCTTTAGCTAAAAATCAAAGTATCACTTGGTGCTTTACTAAATATAACAGACTGCCAAAAATGAATAAACAACAGAAAAAAATAAAGAAACTGTACCAGAAGAATAAAATAGTCAGTTAATGGTACATTAAATATGAATATACCAATATTTAACAAGGTATATTTAATTATCACAAAGCAAAGACATTATTTTTAAGCCATTATCAAGGCTTTCTCCAGGATTGTTTGGGGTGGGGGAGGATTTGTTTGTTTCCTATCTTCATATATGTTTTTAAAATACAGCAGTTTTGCTCCCTCTTCTGGTTATATGCCAGAAACACATTAGAAATGAATACGATACAGCTGGCCTGTTGGCCTATTCAGAACAGGCTTATTTTGAATATCTCCGAAGAGTAGCTCTACTGAATCAGCTGTTTGGATAAGCACTGCAGGGTTACCTTCACAGGACCACTTTAAGGCAGGAGGTGCAGAGAGCTTATGAGGGAGATGGAGATACCACACAAAGATACCATTGATGTTTCTGTAAGACCCTGAGG